TCGTGCTGTCTTCTTGATTTGTCCACAGCTCATGGCTCTGTACTTTGGGCCTGTCACTGTAATAGCTACCACGCTCGAAAACACTAGCGGCCTTCTGAAGGTCTTCCCCTCATCCCCAAGGCTCCTTTGAGTGGAAGTAATGTTTTTAAGTAAGAAATACCGCCGGCCAGAGCTGTGCAGAAACTACTATGGATGTGGGCTTGAGCAGCTCTGACTGATTCCCTTGTTCCTCATGCTGGTTGCTGTTGCATGCAACAGCCCTTCCAACCGAAACCTTACAAGATGGTTGCTGCCTGGTTACCAGCGCAGCAGCGCAGCGTCGGCTTGGCAATGTTGCTTTAAGCCAGAGGATACGGTGACAGGGTGGCAGGCGTCCTTGCCAGTTCCCATTAGATGTCACCAATATGTTCACCTTTGTACGTTCGCGTGTCAACTTCATGTTTGTTTTACCTCCTTTGACCTGGACTCTCAGACCCCGGCGGTCCTGCAGAGGCCGGCTTAGTTTGGATGTTTTACCTCGCGCTTCAGATAACACTCCTCACTCCTCCATCTGCCAATGGCAAGCACCCTTCGCAGGCCACTTCAGCTTGCTACTGGACAGGCCTGCAAAGTCAGCTGAAAGCTGTTGCTGTTTCACAGCAATCATGCCTTGCTACAAAACACAAGATGGGGTCACAAGCAACTTGTTGTTAACCAAATCACCGAACTCCTTTGGACATCAAGCGCATCCCATATTTTGCTGCTTGGCCAGCTGGCAAAATATAATATATCAGATCAAGGGCAGGTATGCAGCCTGCCCAGCTCTTTGTGTCCGGGATCCGGCTACATTAGCAATGATAAACAGCAGTTTCTCGGAGGATCTCGGAAGTCCTGCAGATAAGCCCCAGACAAAATTTGTGGCGTATCTTCTTCAGGGGCGGTTCTGCCAAGCTTCGGTGGTTCCATCATGGCCTCGTTTTCGTCAGGGGCTTGCATGACGCGAGAACCGGAATTAGAGCAAAATCAAATGGTTTAATGTTGAGTATGCACAGAGTCGACAGATGGTCTCCTGAGAGACCGCTTTCCCGCTCCAGAGAGACAAGGTGAGCGGCAGTGCTGAGCCGCATGGCTTTTCAGCACAGGTTTTCTTGGCAAAAAACATGGCATATCAAATGACCATGAGGGGCATCATCATGCCACCACAAGATGGTCTGAACACGAAGGAGTCAAGGCGCGACGACCTGGAAGCACAAGTCGGACAGGAAAACAGCTGGCTCTGCAGTGTAGCTACATGCACCGGGCTTGCAGCTGGAGAGGAAGGTGCGAGTGATCGGCCTGCTGCATGAACAGGGCTCTTGCACTTGGCAATCGCTTGAGATCACAAGTCGTTGCCTGGACCTCAGAAATTGAGCTCGAGGAAGATGGCGCAGTTGACCAGGACGATGGTGTGGTTGACGAGTCCGGGGAGGGACTCAAGTCCACCCCATAGAGTCTTGCAAGCTGTGTTGCGAGCACCTTGCACGTCTGCATGCTGCTGCAAAGGATGCAGCATGCGACTTCGCACTTTTATTGTTTCACACAAACCAGTACGAGCCTTGCGCTTTTTGGCAAGAAGTTCGGGGTGCTCCACGCTCAAGTGCTTGGCCAACGCCTTACATGCAGCAACAAATGTTGCTTGCTGCGGTTGAGCCGCCCAAACACCAATAGCTGGACAGGCCGCGTGAACTTGCTCAGCAGTCGTAACTTCCTCTTTACCCGGCAGCTCCTGCCACGGAGGCAGCGTTTTTGGGCACACGTGCAGGCAGGGGCCGGAGCACGATCACCTGGCCTTATGCAAAACAGCTTCTGTACCGTCTTCATGGAGGAGCTGCAGGCCAAGTCCAGGTGGTGCCCAGCCTCAACCACTAATTCATGATGTTGCTTGAGGTAGGGCCAGTTTTGGAACATGGGATTGCCAAGGTTGCTGAGAACCTCCTCCTAAGACAACCACGAAGCAGGAGCTTCTGCAGCTTCATCCCAAGTAAAGCGAAATGGCCGCTCAAGTCCTCTGGGATGAGCGTGCATGCCACTAATTGCTCGCACCAGCGCCCTCCCACGGCCTGGGAAGCTTCCGCCGGTTTGTAGGCGTGCACAGGATCGTCGCTTCACTCGCAGCACGTGGAGCCAGAACCACAATCTCAGAACTGTGGGTCGCAGAAGGCAGTGCCTGAATTGCCCCTACCACTTGCACAAGGTGACTTTTCCATAAGCGGCCAATCTCTGTACACACCTCAGCGGCCGGTGGTGAGGTGATCTTGTTTTCTGACTTGCAGTCAGACATGATACTCTTGTCATGCCCCAGGTTGCACAGCCGGCAGTGTACTGCTTGTTTGTTCAGTAGAAGTCTGCAAAAATTATGCAAGACTCATGCTGGTACGATGTTGGCTGCTGCCTAAGATGTACAGCTTCTTACAAGCGCACTCAAGGTCTGGGAGCTCACGCATCCTCACACCAGCGATTCTCCTCTCGTACCTCACAGGACATGATGTGACTGCAGCGAGCTCGGGGCTTAGTTATGGCATCATCCCAAGCTTGCGACCCAGCTTCACGAAAACAATTGACAAGTAATTAATGTCATGCTGGCCTGCGCCTCCTCTTCGGGGGTGAAGTCGTTCACGATGTTGAACTGCTTGCCTCATACAGGGGGACCAGCCACGGGTACAACAGCAGGCGCAAATCCTCAAGGGAGTCATCCGATTGCTGCAGGCGAGGGGCGGATCTCTTCGGTGTTCTTGCCCTTGATCATAGAGGCAACCTTAGCGCAAGTGAGGTCCAGGAGGCTCTTGATGTCAAGGTAATTGGCTGCCAGGATCAACTCAAACAGGACCTCGTGGGAAAACATGCTCTTGTGCAAACGAAAATCTGAGTCTCTGGATTCGCAGAGTTTGTGTTGGTCCTGCTGCCTCCTGCTCGATGTTCACGTATTCGCTGTCCCACTCCGAGACGCCGCACTCAACTAGGTTGGTGCTCTTCAGCGGCTTCTGGATCTCTTCCGGCGGGTTGTCCTTGTGGTACTTGCAGTAGTCGATGACCTGCTCCCAGACTTCAGCAGCAGCGGGAAAGCAAAAAGAGTCACGCGTCCGCCATGTTCCCGATGAACCTTGCTCAAAATAGCAGTCTTCACGTTTGGCAGAGGAATTTCTTCATCAGTGCCACTATCCTGTTCGGGCGCCGTGTGCGTAGGCGGCTGCCAGCAATAATTCTGACTGGAGTTGACAGGCAAAGCGCAAAGCTGGTGAAACAGAGCCTGGCGCATGTCACCTGAGCAAAAACTATCGTGCGTCTTTGTTGGCTCCTCCACCATGTTCTTAATCAGGGTTGACATCGTGGCCACCTGTAAGCAGACGGATGGAAGACATCCATATAGCTTGCCCGAAGAGACTTGTTCTGGCCCATGCTCCCCGCCTCCGGCTCAACTTCGAAGATCTCGCCCTGTGAAGACTTCAGCTTCAGCTTGTCCCCATCTGCCATGGCCTAACAGCTCGGTGAGAACATGGGACCTCTCCTTTGCGGAAGCTGTCAGCCAAGATGCTGGAAGGAATGACGCTGACTGCGCGACTGGCCGAAAGAGTGCTGCAAAACACACACGGCATGACTCACAAGCAGCATCCCAATTTGCGCATTAAGTATCACCGCATCACCCACTGGGTGATTGATTGAGGGTGGCTTCAACATCTGCCATGCACTTGTTGCATCCCGCGCGCGTTGACGGCATCCCTTTTGTCCGGCACTGCTCAAGTCGCGCTCTTGAGATACTCTGCAAACACTTGCTTCAGCTTTGCTTGTGGGCTCCACACATCAGACGTCATGAACCTGCATGGCAGCCAAAAGCCATCATGTATTTGAGTGGCGCTTATTCGCATCCAACCAAGGAAGCAGCCAATTCTCAGCCCAGTCGAGATATTGAGACCGCCTACTTCCAGCATGCCGACCGCTGCAATTAGAGGGCTACAAGCCAGCTCCGAGTTCCAGGCAGATCCCAGTGATTCAGCATCTTGTCCTGGAATGTGCGCTTGGTCCATTGTCACTGTCTTATGCAGAAAGTCTTGTTCCGTCCTGTGCTGGGGGATGGAGCACAAGCCCGGGATTGACCACAGCAGCCGTCCAGCTGAGACCTGATATTAACCATAGAACCCCTTAGCTGAAGCAAACCACTCCTGGTGCGGCTGGCGCATCCTTAAAAGCAGCCACCAGGACAGGCCCATTTTTGCAGTAAGCTGCATTGACGGTCACTTGGCTGCAGTCTGGGATGCTACCTTGCTCATTCACAGCGGCGTACACCATCTTGGAAAACTGATGAAAACCGGCTAGCATGACAGGGCGGCACTTGCAGCTACTGGACATTGCACATACTCTTGCGCATGCGCTGCCTTCGTCAGGATCTTAGACTTGTGGTAACGTTTTAACAGCCTAGCTAGTAGCATGAGACGTTCATGTCCCAGGGGATGTACACCGCTTCACTCCATCTCTCCACAAAGCGATGTAGGAGGTGAGCTTCAGTTCTTTGCTGCAGCCCTTCAGCTACAGGCATTGACTTTTTACAACACCCAGTGGAGAAACTGCATTTGCCGAAGGATGCGATAGGAAGGCAAACGCCGGGACCTCCTTCTAAGATACGCTCATTCAGTAGGGCCGACACTGCAGGTTCTCCAGTATCTTGAATTAAAGAAGCAAAAAGCGCATGATGCATCAACGCCGCCATGGTAGCAGCAAGAAGCAATGCGACATTCTAGATTCTATACCATATTCTACGCAATCCAGTGGTTGTCCGTGGATCGCAGGCAAGAAGGAGCAGACAAATCCATGACCTTACATTGCTAGAAATGGCGAGCACAAGCTGACCCACTGGTTCTGGAATGATAGCTATTCGATTACATGCGCTAGGAAGTGCGGAGCTGCAGTCCCACAGGCTCAACTATGTAGATGTTCGCTGCGCTTTCTGTGCTAAGATATCTTCAGCTGGCAAGTGAGAGTTAACCCAACAAGCGGCCGTGGGGCATTGCTTGCAAGCACTTTGGCGCTGCGAATTTCATGCTCTTTGACATAGGTCCAAAAGCGTTTGCACGGCATTAGACTTGATGAAACAAATGCTCTGGCACCGGCAACAGCGACACATGCAAGCCGGCCTTTGGGACATCAGGCAGTGTTGGGCCTTCTAGTCTTGACATGTCTTGATAGTGTCTACTTAACCCTTACTGTTTTACGATGTCACTACTAAAGTTCAAGCATACCAAACCTCATGACGCTGCTGCCTCCAGCCGTTCGTCCTCACCTATTGCCGCCTGCTTCTGCTGGTTTACGACCTGCTTCGAGCGGGGGGAGGCTGGTTGAGACTTTCCCGACTTAGGGCTGCATGATTTTCCGGAATCCTGGCAGTGACAGCCCCTGTTGCCACAAACCCCAAAAGCGGTCCCCTGGCATCCTTACACCATCAGCTCCAGACTGGTTGGTTGAACTCCACTTGAACCCCTGGGCCATTCAGGAAAAAGAAGGATAAAGATTTATGTCATACAGTACAAGCTGAAGAGCCACGTTGGGGAGGCAAGTGTCTGCGACGTGTTTTTTTGCAGAGGTCAGCGCGACAGGGGGATTGTAAGGGGATGATGAGAGGCCCTATTGAGGATTTTGCAAGGGCATTTGGAGCGACTCGCGTGACTCTTGTGTATTGACCACGTAAGATGATATTATAAATGGCCCGCATGCACGGAGAATGTAACACGGGCATTTCGGAGTTATCCCCCCCAAAACTCGTGAAATCCCCATGGCCGAGCGCGCGAGTATCCTACGATATCGCCAAGAAACAACGAGCCAAAGGCCTAAGGGCGAAGCTCTTACATGCAAATTCCCACATACACACATACATCCCACTGCACCCTATCTAACCCTGTGCTACCCCCCAAAAGTCTAGGACGCTCAAGTAAGGGCCTTCGCTGCTCTTGAGGCTAGCTTCAGAGCTGCTGCAGTCTCCTCGTTGGGCTTGGAGGCTTAGGCTCCCATGCAGGTGAAGATTTCTTACAGCCCCGAGGGATACATATGGAATATCAGGGGCATGTAGGGGTCCCCCAGATGGCTTTGACAAACTCCCAGTTTTTCGATCTTCTTGTTCCATATGGCCGTGATAGCCGGCGTAAAAAATCACCAGTGCAGGGAAACACGTACCCCCAGTTCCGCGGGGCCTTGCTGTTGAGGCGCAAGCATGAACTGGTTTAATAGCAGTGCCCATTTCCTTTTCCATTATCCCTCTATAGAAACCCTATAGATCTCTATATAACTCCAGTATCTTGTGCACCACGCAAGCCCTCAGCACCCAAAGAGAATCCTGGATGTTTGATCTTGCAGGGGAGCAGCAGACCTTGGGGTGTTCGAGCACGAGGCCACATGTAGATTCCAAGTCAGTTTCCAAGGGCTGGGCGTACATCAAAACTTTTGCGCTGCCACCCACGGCATCCCGTAGCAGGGTGGTCAGCTTGTGATCCCTTGCGCGCACTGCAGCATCTTCTACAAGCACCACTGGCCAATCTAGAAGACCCCCTTGGCCTGTATGGAATATGCCTCCGTCGACCAGCGACAGCCTGGCAATTCAACACATGTGGGAAGCTCAAATCATCGAAAGCTTTCTTGCCAGGCCCTCTGCCTCAATAACGCTGCTGAGGGCACTGAGTGACTTGTTGATCTCAATGGCCTGACATGTTGGTGCTAACCACATCTTCTCTGTCGCTGTAGATTCAAAGCCTCTTTCTGCAAATCCCCTGCGGCTTGGGAGCGCTTGATCCTGAAAAGCAGGGAATTCTGCACTTGTTCATCTCACCTCATGAAGCGTCAGAAACCGCAGTGGATGTCAACGCATGCTTCTGCCTCTCACAGCCGCCGAGGTCACAAAAGGTGAGCTTCCGTGTGCTGGCTTTCTTTGAGCCACCTGCAGCAGTGGTGGCTTTAGCATGCCCACTTGCCCGGCACCATGCGACTGCGTGCCTTCAGTGTGAAGTCGGACGGTGAAAACCATGTGAGAGCCTTGCTTCTGTATGAAGTTGGTCACTGTGCTCAAGTGAAAAGATGTCCCAAGAATGATGCGAGAGCTGTCCGCGTTGAGGGCATGTTCTGCCACAACCCGCCTGGGCACTCTACACGCCACAATGATACAATGGCAGCTTTCTGTTGAAAACGTCTCTTCAGCTATACACTGCAGCATGCAGCCACAAGAAGCCAGTGTTGAGATTGTCATGCATATGCCCGAAGAGGCTTGCAGTCTGCGGTAAGTTCCGGGCTGGGCCAGACCCTTCTCAAGGATGTCCAGCAGATCGCTTGGCGTTTTTGCTGGAACTTGCGCCTTACGGCAGCGAATCATCCATCCAACCCGCTTACTCTCTCATTTGCTCTAAGCATCGTGCAAGGCCGTCCACTTCGACGCAGCCTTGTGTGTCAACGCCTGGGTCAAGACGCGAAAAAAACTGGCATCAGCAGGTCTTGACCGCGTGCATCCCTGGCAGCTACAAAAATTGCACGTGCAGCGCAAACGTCGCACTTTTCCTGCGTGCTCTTAGACGCAAGGTGCATTTCCCGCATTTGGGATCACAAAAACAAGCCCTGCCAGCTGCCATGGAGATTTGCCACATCAGTTGAAGAAGTAGCTCGAGAACAGCACTGAGAGGATGCAAATCAGCAGCAAGCCCCAGTACAGTGAGGTGCGGTTCAGCTCGACCGGCAGCATGGCATCATTCGGGCGGGGCTCTGGCAAGGCCCTGAGAATCACCACCGGCTCATTCATGACCTGCTCTGCACCTGCAAACGCTCCGGAGTTGCCGCGAAGCATGGAGCCCTGCGAAACTGGAGCCACGAAGACCTCTGATTCCTGCGACCTGGATGACAACCACAGGCAGGCGGCCACGGCAAGGACAAAGAGCCCGGAGCGTCGCATGGCCATACTGCAGAGGTGTTGGATGGTGCTGCTAAGTTCTCCACAAGGTCAGACTGGAAATGGCCACAGTCTACAGACAGGCATTGGCTTAATGCCTGGCACATGCCTGCCTCAAGCAGAAGGAACGAGTCAGAGGCCTACTCCAGACTCTAGGACCCGTGCAGACTTTCACACCCGGAGCTTGCCGGCCTCTTCAAAAAAGCATCAGCAGACTTGCAAAGTGAGGCAGGCTTTCAATGCCCACCAGCCCTTGTAAGGAAAGCAAGTAACTTGGCCAGCTCACGCATCATGACACGCTATATTGGATCCCTGGCAAACAAAAAAAAAAACGTTTGTAGTCCTAGCGCTTGTGGCCTGTACGGTCAATAGGGCGGAGCAGATCAATGAAGTGATTGTTGTAGAGCCTCAGAAGAAACTGAAGAAAGCAAGGAGGAGCGTGCGCCCTTGAAATCACATGCCGTCGTAGTACATGTTAGATGTTATGCTGTGGGGCTGTCTTTATGCCCTGCAACTCCCAGATATTGTGCTTCCGAGGTCAATGCTCCAGAGCAGAACCAGTCACACTGGCAGCGCACTCCTCAATTGCAGCACAAGGGTTGACCGCAAAGCTCAAGCTCAAAGCAAGTAGCAAATGGCAGCCACGAACGGCCTCATCATCTTCAGCCTGATCTGCAAGACGCGCGAAGACTTCTCCTTAGCACCATTCATTTGCGCAAAATTGCGCAAATGCCCTGCAGAAAGCTGGTGCAGTGCACAAAAAAAGGATGGCAAACAGTGAGCAGATCAGAAAAGCTTCGGATCATGTACTGGACCAAGCCCTCCTGGTCCTTGCTCCCAAACCTGCAGGCCCACAAAATTCAACTTGAGGATTCTACCCTCATGATGCCTGAGGCGCTCACAAGGTGTAAGTCTTGCCGGCACCAGTCTGTCCGTAGGTCATGACCGTAACCTGCAAAGCCGGCTGGAGCAGCAAGACGCGGTGCGGCCATTTTTGTGGCAGGCGGCGTTGTGGCCATCTGCTGCAGATTGGACCAGGTCGCGGCAATCCTCGAAAATCTCCTCCGGTCCAAACATTTCGGCAGCTGTAAATGTGAGGACTGCAGAGCCAAAGCACGGCCTCAACCACTTGCTGCGGGACATCCGGCCGGAACACACTGTCAAATTCGAACCTTCCAAGAACGATGCGGCGCTGGGCTGAGA